GCAATCCTGTTTTCTCCTTCTGCTACTGTTTTACTGGAGAGAGGAGGAGTAAAGGAGCGCGGTGCAGATGAAGGAATGAAGAGAGATGGATAAGAAAGAGAAAAAAACTCATATAAAGAATGAAGAAAGCGAGATTGTTTGAAAAAAAGGTGGGAATGAAGTGGATGCTGTTGAGAATGATGGGATGAGAGGTGAACAAAAGTAAACAAGAGGAAGAGAGGAGACATTCGAAAACCGGATGAAGCAGAGCTGCAAATGTAATCTCTTAACACTTGTTTTGTCCTAACCAGACAGCAGTAAAGTGTCAGTAACACCCCCTCTCAACCCCCTTTAAAAACACAGCAAGTGCATCTTTAATGAAAATTTCAATTGAAAAACTTAACTGCCCTTCAAATTGCAGAATTTTACACGCATCAGTAAAGCCTAAATAACATTCAGTACTTAGACGGAGAGGAGTGGGTGAGAAGGAGGAGAGAGTGAATAGGTGAGGAATGGGGGTGACCAGAAGGGTTATTTTGGTTGGTTGATGGGATCTTGATCAAGGTGACTGGACAGAATTTAGGTATAAAATAACATTTTTTTGTGTGTTATTTACAGTATATTTGTCTTTTCTTTGCATCTTTATTCTTTTTTTGTTTTGCATGTCTGTTGCTGGAATAAAAAATATATTGTAGCCAGACAATAAAAAAATGCAGGCAAGGCTGACTTCAAATAAATGTAAAGTGTCTAATTAAACATTCAAGAAACAAGGTTGGCAGACACGCAGACCTTTTGCAACAAGAAGCAAGCATGCAGTGAGGCACAACTACACGCATGCAAGGCAGGGAGATGGGCTTCTTGGTTATATGCGGGGTTCAGTGGACCTTTGGTGGTAATTGAATCAGTGTGAGTGCTGAGTAGAGCTAGCATAAAAACCTGTTAACCCTAAAGGTCAACTTCCTGCATTGTTTATTTAGTATGGAGACCAGAAAGAAGAGACCAAGATACAAAGTCTATATGGGGCACAGAGAGCGTACAGAATGAGAGTTGGTAAAAGTAAAAGTGAGGGGAAAGAGGAGGACTGCAGGAGAGGTGGACTTGTTGAACCATTATATTCTTCTTTATATTACTGTTTATGGATTGGCTTTTTGTTGTTTTATCACCATGAAAGAGTAACCATTTTCCCAATTTCTTTTTTAATTCCTAAAGACAAAAGTTAAAAATATTATTGATGGCAAGGCTACAACGTCTGTCTATGCATTTAAAAGTCTTGAAATTTAAATAAAGATATATAAATTTTTATAAAAGTCCTTAACCTCTAGCAGAATTTGCATGTCTTGAGCCACTTACCAAACATAAGCTGGCACCTCATTCTGTAATAAATAAGGCCCACTAATCAATAGCGCTCATATGTTCAGACACTGCAGTTTCCTGCTTGTTGTCTTTTGTGCATGCATGTTGACATACACATAAACATGCTTGCATGCCTAATCTCTTGTACACATAAGCGCACATACAACTGCACATCTTTTTTTTACTCTCGCCCTCTCTGTTTCTCCCTTACGTACACACAGAAACACACACACACCATCTGGGAAAGCCGTTAGCAGTTAGCGGTAGCACTTAGCGACGCAGCACGCTCTCTCGGTCCGCTCAGTCACCTTGATCTGGTTGCCCTTCACACAGCACCATTACTGCTGTACTGCATCGCTGTGGGTGTGGGAATGTGAGTTAATGCGTGAGTTTAGAAGAGTATGTGTCTGTTTGTGTGTGTGTGTGTGTGTCCATTACAGAGCGGTACAGTGGGATGTAAATGCCAAGGGAGTGGGGGGGGATTAGGTGTTGCCTTCAAATGAGCTACCATGAAGCAAAATATCCTTTTGACTGGTCTTATGTTTGGTCCCCTTCTTGGATGAAGAGTCACGGTCATGTGACCGTGTGTTTGTGCTTCTCTGTCCATCTCACTCTGTTTTAATAGGATCATTTTGTGTTCTAGGTAAAATTCTTTTTAGGATGCCTAAAACCACACAAAGTAAAAGAATACAAAGTGAGCCAAAGTTAGCTCCTTGGAACTACAATCCTGTTACTTCCTAAAACAGTGTTTTCTTAATAGTGGTATTATGGCACCGTCTCAGTCCATCCATTTATCTGTGGACAGTTTTTCTGAGCTCTAAATTCATAACTCTTTTAACATAGTTAAACTTCACAGATTGACACCTTATGGGTCAAGGATAATTCCTATTATTTCAAGGTCAAAGATGAAAGTCACAGGTTACTCTTTGTTAAAACCCAGTTTCTGCTCCAGCAGGTGATTTGTGTAAACCTTTTATGCTCCACCTTGACAAAAAAAAAAGAGTGGAATTCGTGAAGTTTACCACTCTAGTCATAAAAGACTTTGTATGATACTGATAATTATCAACAGGTAAATTGTTCACATTGCAAATGATAGCTTCACATTCATGTTCTTACATGTTTTTTAATTGAACTGTTTATTGATCTACACCACGGACAATTTCATTATCAGTGAAACTGACCTTTCAACCCACCACAACCATGCATGTATGTAACGGACATAAATTCAGGATTGTTACGTGGGGAAATTAATGCTTTAGGTTTTAATTTCTCTAAACATTTTCTGATCGATGTACTGTTAGCAGTTATTTTTAGTTTACTCATAATTTTTGAATTGCACATAACTTATTCTGGTCACAGATCTATAAGAGGTCAGTTTTAGAACTTGCAAGCTTTTGTAGTTTGGCATTGAATTGTTGAAACATAAACTAAGTCCTGTAAATTCTGAGGTGGAGTTGTTTTTTCAGACTTTTCTCTGCACATACTCAAAACTAAGGCTGCCCCGATACCAGTCTCAAACCAAGAACAATTATGAGTACTTCAGTTTGTGTACTCGCTGATACCAGGTACTTACTGAGTTAGACTGTGATGCATTGAGTACAGTTTTGAATTAGTAATGGATTACAGTTGTTGTAACCCTTTTGCCTATATCAGAGCTGCTCAAGTCTTCCTCTTTTCTTCCCAGATCAACATGCTGACTTTGTGAACTTATCACTTTTCTCACATCTGACCTATCCCAAACCTTGATATTTCTTAAAGGCACAGTGTGTAGGATTTTGTCAATTCTTTTAGCCGAAATTGAGATAATCACTAATGACAATAATAAAAAAACATGTCTAATCATTGCAGACAAAGACCTTGTTTTATTATTTTTACCTTATAAAAAGCTGTTTATATCTCCATGGTCGCGGGTCGCCACACAGGCAGCCGCCATCTTGCACCGCCATCTTGTCTACGAAGGCTCATGAAGGACAAACTGCGGTGGTGGCATTAAAAACGGTTTTATTTGTAATACTGTAAATGTAATATTTGTTGTCTGTCACTGTAGCTGGGATAATTTTACTTATTAAAGCTCATAATCTTACCACTTGAAACATCACTAGCCCTGAAGCTGCTGGTAGACATGGCGGTTGGAATTATCAAAGGTTTTTGACACCTGAGAGACACCGTAGCAACTCCTTTGCGTTTGGAAGTGGGGGGTGGGGGTGGGGGGAGGACCAGGGAGGATGATTCAACCACTCAACCACTAGATGCTGCTGAAAACAACAAATCCTACACACTGTGCCTTTAAGATAATTGCAGTTGAGTTCTGCAAAGTTTACATACATGTACAAAAAACTGTAGATCATGTGAATGTTATATTTTGTCTATAGGAAAAGCAAATGTAAAGTTTTATTCAGTTTGAATGTTTATAGTTGGCTTACACTTCACCTTAGTGCTGTAGTCAAGACCGCCTAACCCGAGACCAAGTCAAGACCAAGACCACAGATTCTTGAGACCGAGACAAGACCAAGACTTTTAGAGTTTGGGCCACGTCGAGACCAAGACCGAGGGAGGGCGAGACCGAGACGAGACCAAGACCAGATTAAAAAAAAGTCCCCTAAATGATGGAGTATTCTGTACACATGTACAGTGGGGAAAATAGTATTTTGTCTCTCATAGCTGAGGTCTAACTATGATGTCAATCACAGACCTCTCTCATCTTTTTAAGTTGGAGAACTTGAACAATTGGTGCTGACTAAATACTTTTCCCCCACTTTAGCTAACTTAATATATAGAGCTAATATTGACAAAATCTTTGTGTGAGGGCAGAGGAAAGACTTTTGCTACAGAGGCAGATTGTTAATGTTAGTGATGATAAAAGTTTAAAGTTGTACCCACTGTCTCTGAAAGTAAAGTACTAACAGATTTACAAGTTGCTGTACGCTTTCTCCTGGTTGTTGTTGTTAATGATATTATTTATGAATAATGTAGCCAAATTTTAACTTAAGATTTTGAAGTCATCTTTTACCGTTCCCAGAGAACCACGGTTCACTTTCTGGGAGTGCTGCATGCAAGTGATGGGGGGTGTGGATGGGCGACAGCCGCTAACAAAAATACATAAATAGCAATGAGTCAGGTTTGAATTTGAATCAGTAGCTACATTTTAAATCCAATGAAATCAAGAATGTTAACTGGACAATAATCTGGCTACTTAGTGATATTTCTGCAGTTGTGGTCTTGACTGGTCTTGAAATAAAATTCTGAGTCCTCAATATCCGAGACTGCGACAAGACCGAGTACAAGTGCTGTCGAGTCCGAGACAAGACCAGGACCATCAAATACTGGTCTTGAGACTGGTCTTAAGACCAAGACCGGTTTCAAGTACTACAACACTACTTCACCTTACAGATTTATTCACTTACAGTAATTGATTCAGATGTAGTCACAGGTATGGAAAAATCCTGAATGCAACTTGTATTTCCTGAGGGGTAGAGAGTGAGAAAAAGAATATTCAAATTAATCCCTATATTGGTTTCAGCATCACACGTTGTCCTTCTGATGTCTTTTGTAATGCCACCAGTCCTATACTGTAATTCGTCTTCCTCTTTTTTCTCACACTTATTTAGTCTTTTGTAATTTTTTCCCCCTTTTTCCATTATTTTACTTTTTTTCCTCTCTGTCCTCAGGTCCAGGACCAGTAGACACCCCAACTGTGAGAGTGCTTCATTCTCGAACTGCATCAATAACCTGGGCTCCTCCCTCACATTCAAATGGCATTATTACAAATTACACCCTCTATCTTCATCCCCTCTATCTTCATCCTGACTTTATAATTTCTTCAGATTACAAATCTAGTTTAGTCAACAACTTGACCCTCATCCACAACCGAGTCCCCAACCCTAGCACTTTGTTCAGTAAAGAGGGAGCACATCTTGACTCAGATTCCAACTTGATATCATTTAATCTTTCCAACCTTCCCAACAACACAGGTTTTAGTAATGCTTCAAGCACAATTCAAGACACTGCACACATATTCCAGAACCATGTCTCCACTTTGTGGCCTCGTACTGCAGAAGGCGGTCCAACTGAGTCATCTCATCAAACCAGCACAAGTCGAGACCACACTGCTGCACATTTCTACCCAGCAGAGCTCAATTCTACAAGTGGAAATCCACACTTCTTGCTGTCAGCTGCCAAACTCGATTCAAACAGCTACAATCCTGATCTTTTCATGAAGCAAGATCCCTTTGCCAGCCCCATCTCCAGCTCTGTTGGTGCAGCTTCAAGATCCACGCTCATGTCAGCCACTGTTCCTGGGAATATCACCAGCTACACTTTCTTAAACCTCCTTCCTTACCAGATATACAGCTTCCAGGTATTATACTTATTTTACTGATAACTTTCACGTTTTTAAATAATAGCATAATGAATAAACAAATGTTTCCCTTTGCTGATTATGTCTTGTGAGATAGTATACAATTGTTTTTGTTTTTCTAAAAATTAGAATGCTTTTGCAACTTTTTTGCAAACTATTTAGTATATAATTTACAGTGGTTTGCAAAAGTATTCATACCCCTTGAACTTTTCCATATTTTGTCACATTACAACCACAAACATAAATATATTTCACTGGAAT